GGGGGCACTATTCAATCCATGACAGCATCTCTCTTCCCCCTGTATGTCTCTGGGTCTATTCTGGTCTCTTTAGAACTCAGAAGTGATTAGGTTTAAGAAACACCCTACACTGGTATTATAACCTCATTAACGTAACAAAAGAAAACCCCCTATTTCCAGACAGGATCATATCCATAGGTACAGGGCCAGGAAATCAGCACGTTTTGGGAGGACACAATTCAATCCATAACAACAATCTAATTTCTTCTATGGCCCAATACAACATCTTTGAACACTTTTATATCCAGGGCCACTTCCCCACCAAATCAAAGGCCCCACAGAGGCCACGCTGACTGCACATGTGCCGTGGGGCGGGGAGAACGTGAAGCTCACGAGGCTGACCTGGGAGCGATCACAGAATGAGTTCTTCTCTTCGGAAGACAACCACTTTCATTTTTCATGCTATCTTTTCGAACTTGTCCATGTACATAGTCAAGAATTCTAATGCACAAATAATTTTCTGTTCTGATTTTTAAAGGTTAAATCTCAGAAATTATGTTTATGTTACTTTTATTCAACATTAGATTGTTATAAGCAATTCCCATGTTTCTATATAGCTTCAGGATTATCCTTTTAGCACATATATAATCTCTCATTATGCTAATTACTAAATCTGTGATAGGATATTTAGGTTGTTCCGTTTGTGACTATAATATATAACACTGCAGTGAATATGTTCGAGGATGTAGCTTTTGGACACAATTCATTCTTTATGAAAGGAGTTGATCTGGCTTTTTGTGGGAAAGAGTTTCGTCATGGATTGAATTGTGTCCTCCTTCCCCAAAATATGGTGAAGCCCTAATCTCTATTAAAAAAAAAAAAAAAAACATTGCCATGGAGTCAATTCCGACTCATGGCGACCCTATGTGTATAGAATAGAACTGTGCTCCGTAGGTTTTTCAGCCTCGGTGGTGCAGTTGTTAAGTGGTTTGGCTGCTAACTGAAAGGTCAGCGGTTAAAACCCACCAGCTGCTTCGAAGAAGAATAGACCTGGCAATCTGCCCCCATAATGATTTACTACTCTGTCATATAAGGTTAAAGAGCCCTAGTGGCACGGTAGTTAATCGCTCGGCTGTTAACTGAAAGGTTGGCGATTTGAACCCACCAGCCGCTCCATGGGAGAAAGATGTGGCAGTCTGCTTCCATAAAGTTTAAATCCTTGGAAACCCCATGGGGCAATTCTACTCAGTCCTATAGGGTCACTATGAGTCAGAATTGACTCGATGGTAAGGGGTTCATATTGTACAGGTGCTATGAGTCAGAACTGATTCAACCGCACACAACGGCAATAATCTTACAGATCCATGGCGCCACTAGGCGTAACAACCTGTTGTTAGGTGCCATAGATTCAGTTCCGACTCACAGTGATCCTACGTACAACAGAACTCGAACACAGCCCAGTCCTTTGTCATCTTCAAATTGTTGCTATGTTTGAGCTCATTGTTGCAGATATTGTGGCAATCCATCTCACTGAGGGTCTTCCTCTTTTTTGCTGACCCTCTACTTTATTAAGCATGATGTCCTTCTCCAGGGACTGGTCCCTCCTGATAACCTTTCCAAAGTACAAGAAATGTGCTAAAGGAGCATTCTGACTACCTCTTCCAAGACAGATTTGTTCATTCTTCTGGCAGTCCAAGGAATAGTCAATATTCTTTGCCAACACTATAATTCAAAGCCATCAATTCTTCTTTGGTCTTCCTTATTCATTGTGCAGCTTTCGTGTGTATATGAGGTTATTGAAAATACCATGGCTTTGGTCAGGGCACCTTAGTCCTCAAAGTGACGTCTTTGCTTTTTAACACTTTAAAGAGGTCTTTTGCAGCAGATTTCACCAGTGCAATACATTGTTTGATTTCTTGACTGCTGTTTCCACGAGCTCAAGTCGGAATTGACTCGATGGCAACAGGTGGGTGGGCTTCCATGGGTGTTGATGAGTGCCACATAGAGAGCTTTTTATGCTTGTTTGTTTGCTTGCTTGTTTTAATCCCCAGCACCTGTTTGGAAAAGGAACCTTGGTGGCACAATGGTTAAGAGTTCAGCTGCTAACCTAAAGGTTGGCAGTTCAAACCCACCCAGCAGCTTCAAGGCAGAAAGACCAGGCAATCTGCTCCTGTAAACACTACAACCTCGGAAACCCTACGGGACAGTTCTACTCTGTGAGTCGGAATTGACTCGACGGCACCTAACAACAACCTGTTTGGAAACAGGGTCTTTGAAGACGTTATTAAAATTAACATGAGGTTCTGCTGGAGTAGGGTGGGTCCTAATCCAATCCACCTATGAGCCAATGGAATGCCTAGGCCACCAGAAGCTGAGAGATCTTCCATGACAGGCTTTGGAGAGAGCACGGCCCTGACTATGCCCTACAACTGCCCTGCTCAATGAGGTAGCCTTTAGCCATTGCGGTTATTAAAAATAATAAATAAATAAAAATAAAATAA